CCAGATGTAGACATAATTGGATGGTTGCATTTAATACAATCCTAGTTTGACAAAGTTCAAAATTTAGAGTTTAGATCTAATTCACTAATAGATCAGTTGTTACGTTAAACTTTTGGACTACTATTTTTAAACCTTTGACATTTTGGGAGATTGTTTTGCAGAAAACCTTCAGCGAAATAGATCTAAAAATCATAAATTAATTGAATGTGCTGACCATGGGTAAGTTTAACTTTTCCAGCTGTATCTCGTTCTTGCTGTTGACTGAAACTTAGTTTAAGTCCTAGTTGTGGACGGCGCATATTTTTACTTTTAATCTCTCAATGTGGTATTGTTATGTTGAGTAGTATTTAAATAATTATTTATTTTTAAGTGTAAATCACTTGTTTTGATGTGACAACGTCTTATAATTCGATGGAGCCGGCTGCACGCACGAAAAAACATGACTCATGCGGCGTTACCTCGCTTTGAGGCGTTCCATTTTAGGCTTGAAGTGCTAGCGAGAGCGTGGAACGAGCGACAAAGAGGCACAATCGGCCTCCGCGTTCGGCAGCGTTCGTCATCTGTCTCTCTCCAACTTGAGTGAGCGATGCGTACGCGTGGACAGATGCTATACAATAATACATTTACCTCCTTCTCTATATCCATACAAAATATCTATCAAACAAATAAAATTAAAATTTTCTTTTGAAAAATGAAACCATTCCATCAGTATTTTCTTATGACGTTGTCACGTTCAACTATCGTCAGTAAACCGACTTTACAGACAACCGATTTTTTTTCAATACCTACGCAGCGAAGAAAATAACATTACACCAATTAATATTTACCAGAAGGAGATGCAGATAAGCAGAATTCGAGTATATTGCCAGCAACGGCTTTTAAAGAAAGTTAAAAATTCTCAAGAAAAGCAAGATGCTTTTTTTAAAGATATAATGCCAACCAGACAGTTATAAAGCCGACCCTGATCTTTTACCTACCTAAGTACATGTTTAACCTCTAATCGCTGCACAGCTTACTATTATTCGATTATCTCTTCACTTTGTTTGTTCTGCTCATGAAGAATTTCCTAATTTAACAAGAGCGTGTTCAATTCTCATAGTAAAAGCGAAACAGCCAAATTTTACAACAGTATTATGGCCCAGGCAATATGGGCGGGTGAGTGGGAGAAATTATTCGGATTAAATTTTTTTACTCAGTTTTATTCGGAAGATTCTCCTGAATACAACAATATATGTTGCCAGCCGATAACCCGGTCTAGTATTGTTTAAATCACGTTTGTTTAAACAAATGCCAAAAAACAACTTCTTTTGACTGGAACAATTTTTTTATATTATTTGATTTAATCTCGATAAAAAAGGTGTGCTTTTTGTTGTAAAGTTAATATTTTTTTAGTTTTTCCTATGTAGCACTTCCGGTTATACAGGAAGTTGACAGCAGCTTCGTTATCCTGTATATTATGACTATTTTAAATTGTACTTATAATTCTAGGTAGACTTTCTAAGGTTTTCCTACTTCTAAAATTTATGGCATTCGAAATATTATTTTTTTTTTTAAAGTACCTCAGAGCAGTAGGTAGTGAAAAAGCATGTCTATCTTACAATAAGAAAGCAGAAGCAACACAACACAATAAAGGCGGAAATATAAAAACAGGACAGACGAAAAAGGGCAAAAAAGATGTATAGCTAAAAAGTGGGAAATAATTGGGAAGTGTAGGGCAACTAAGAAACAGTAGATTGACAGGAGGTGTAAGGAAGTAGAAGAAAGTTTGGAGTAGGTAGTTTTAGAGATGTAGGGTGCAGTAGTAATAATATAAGAAACGAGGAAGAGTTCATTTTGACAGAAAATGAGGAAAAGGCAGTAGATGAAAAGAATATTTAGAGAACCCATACGCAGGCCATTAGTTAGGAGATATATTAGATAAGGAAGATAGTGTGGAGATAGATGAGCTGGGGTTTTCCCATAATGAGAGAAGAGTTCGATGTAGCGTTAAAAAACTTAAAGAATAATAAGGCGCCAGGTGTAGAAGGAATACAGAGGAAAATTCTTAAACATGCAGAACAAGAGGTTAGAGATCGTATGTTTAAGCTAGTTAGCCACATTTACGAGATGGGGAAAGTTCCAGGGAATATAAACGAAACGTGGTAGTAACCATACCTAAAAAGAGGCGTAAAAAATTAATCCGAATAATAATATTTCTCATTCACCTGCCGATATTGACTAGACTATTAAGTAAATTTACACGAACAGAAGATAGATTGGTGTATTAATATTTAGAGGGTATGTTCTTTGACTTAACATGGTACATATTAATATTAAAATGAATAGTAAACGTAGCAATAATTAAAATATTTTTAAAAAATTTAAATGATTCAATTAGAATTATATTTTTATTTTTTTAGTTTTGATCTGATGGTTAAATAAACCGAAACGTTACACAAAAACATTTATTTACATAGTTTTTTATCGCCACCCTAGAAAAAATAGTTAGTTATTACTACACATCGGATTATATGCATTTGCATATTTGCATATGCAAAAGCATATAATTCTATTTTATAGCGTTTTTGCATATTTTGGTACTTTTTCATTAACAGTGCTTATTTCAGTAGTTATACGTTTTAGGCGTGTTGTATTATGCCGCCGACGCCACAGGATCCTTCAATAAAAAAAATATTGCTCTTGTTGCAACACATTTCAGCAATATACCCGATGCAATTGAAAAACTAGAAACTAAAAACCTTCTGTGGAAGTCCTTGGAAATATTAGAAAAAATGGTTGAAAAGAGTAACGCCCTTCCGAGTTCAATATCGCAAAAGGTTCGTGGCAAATTAAATGCAGTTTTGTATAAAAACCCCGGTCTTGACGAAATAAAGAAAATTGACGCATTTATCACGGCACCGGACAAACTCTTCCTGAAGAGGTCTCTGCAGGAATGGCGCCAAATTTCAAGTTCTGTCCGGTAACGTCAGTTGACGTCGAAAGGTCATTTTCAGCCTGTAAATTGATGTTAAGTGATAAACGGCACAAGTTTGCCGTAGAAAACCTGGAAAAATATATTATTGTTTATTGTCACAAAAATTATAATAAATAAGTTATAAATTATAANGGAATGGCGCCAAATTTCAAGTTCTGTCCGGTAACGTCAGTTGACGTCGAAAATGTAAATTCTAATTATAAATGGTTTTTTTATAGTGCATATTTTGGCATTTTGATAGCGTATATAATCTGATGTCTAGTTATTACTAACCATTTCGCATCCATGTGCATGAAAAGAGTAGGTGATATGCTATATTCCAATGGCCCGTTCATCAAGAGTCAAAAGCGGAGACTACGGGTACCTTCGTACCAAAAAGATTTTCAGCAAGACCTTTGAAAAAATTTTATGCAAAAGTTATTCAATTAACTTATGGTTATTTATTTAAGGTGCTCTTGACATTGGCCTTGAAAATTACCGTTAAGGATATTAAGGTATCAAATTTATGAAGAATAGACGTGGTTTTATATTAAACCATGTAAATAACTCGTGGGATTCAATGACACCTAAAGTCATCGAGGTTTTCAAAGATAAACTAGAACGTCGCATAGCGTCGTCGCTCATGGGGTTTGCACATTAGACCCTTTGAAAGAAACCTGTTATTTACATGACTCAGTGTGAAATTTTCTCTTGATTACATTTATACAAAAAAGAAATAACAAGAATATAAATAAAAATTATTTTTAAGAGCTTAAAGGTCATTTTTTAGGTCAATGCCAAGGTCACCACTAAATAATCAAGAACACGTGTTGCTTTTAACGTTTATTTACATTTTTCTTGCAATTCAGATCATCTAATTTACGTAACATATACCCGAGTAACTTCGGCGATTTAAAAACAGCAATTGTTGTGATTAATGTTTACAAAGGATTCGATTTAATTTTATAATTAGAAAGACTAGCTTTTTAAAAAGTACCGTGTACACTGAAAAGTAACAACACTTGACATCACTAACCGACTAGTGCGTTTGTAAATATCCAGTCTCAATCGCTGCTTAAAAACAAAAAAGAGGAGACATTCTTTGTATTATATAAAAAAAAAACACAAACAGGAGGAATTTTGAAAATTAAACTCTTGAACTATATAGAAATAGACTTAAAGGATTACCAAAAGTATAATGTTGATTCATCTTCGAACCCGCAACTATTAATGGTAATTCAAATAAGAAAATGTACTCCTAAATTCTGAATTACTTTTACCTTTATATCAATTTTAAAGGCAGAATTTTATAAGAGCTTGAAAAGGTATAAAATTTCCTATTATTTTTTATTTTCAATTCTACTTTTTACAAATACAACTTTATAAAACAAGGTAGTAGTTTAATATGTAACAATTTTTATAAACGAAATTTTGTGTCACTGTAACCAAAAAAAAAACATGTTTTCTGTTGTACCATAATACTTAAGCATAACTGTTTCCCGCTACTAACACGTATATTTTGCTTGTCGTTGTTTAAACAGATACGATGCCAAGTAACGGTTAACATTTAAGTAACATCTGGCTATCGAATTTAGAGATATTAGGAAATTAAATTACTATTGCTGCTTTAATACGTACATATCTATGTATATTAATTGCTCTCCTACTTTCACGAAATACCTTCAACTTACAGGCGAAATATGATTTTATTTTAGACATATTGTATGAAACATCCTGTAATTTAACTGATAATATAGGTACCTATAACATCAATCTTAAGCCTTAAGCCATCGTCGTTAGATAAAGTTTTTACTTTCCTCAATATTGGTTCTTTAATTATTATTATTTATCAGTATATTTACTTCTTCAAAAATTCATGTTATGTATATCAGTATCCAGTATATCAGTATATCAGTATTCAATAACAAATGTGAAAATATGTTATAGAATCCCTTGATCTTATTCTTCATTAGGCTAATATTATCGAAAACGCTAAAGCAAGAAAATCTATTGTAAAACAGGTATTACAAAAAGATAATTTTTACAGAATGTTCACTGGCTTCCTTTGTAAGTAGTTCCACTAGTCAGCAAATTCCATTCGTCTATTTACCATTAAAAGGTCAAATCATCCATCCAAGCAAGGAAATAAAATTTACAGGTGAGATTGACTTTATATTTTAATTCAAAACAGTAAAAGACATAACATATATGTAGATAATCCTACAATTATTATGTAAATTTTACAAATGATAAAGGACCCATTCGTTGCGCTATTACCAACTTCGTTAATTACTTATTATTTTGATTAAACAGTTTGCATTTAATTTCACGTTCTACGAAGTTTGTGTTTAATTAACATTATAAACCAATGACCCTGCGTTACTGCTATTTCCTAGTGGCGTCAATGTACTTGAAGTGTCTGCAAAAAGGAATTTATTTTTACGTTATTTTTTATTCATACATTTTAACGCTAAACTACTAATGTAAATGAAAAGAATAAGGATTGAACAAGTTAAATCGAAAGAATGTTAAGTTTCACTTGAAATTGTAAAACAAGACCAGGTTGATATATCCTTGATGATTAAATTCAACCGCTGCCTCCACAAATAATTTTACTTTGTTGCATTTAAAAATAAAATATTTTTTAATCAGTATTTTCCCATTTTTCTTTGTTATGCTTCACACCAAAGCTTTTTGATAATGTTGCATTTTTATAGATCTCAAAGCTCCTGTATGTGCGGTATCAAGTGCAAAAGTATTATCTGAAGACGGATGGACAGAATTAAGGAATCCACTAGATGGCGATATACCACTGAGGTTATTTCGAGATGAGGGTCGAGTATTTTTGCAAGTGTGTATCACACCAATTACTATATTTTATCATTATATAATACTGGGGTGTCTTAAGGCGAAGGTTGCCTGTAAGACCGATTGTAAAAGAAGTATTGGACTTCTTTTTGTACTTTGTACAACTTCGCTTTCGATTACGTTTATCTAATTTTAAGATTAAACGGTTATACCGACATGTCAGCACAATTAAAATTTTCATTTTCTGGTGTAAAAAAGTGCCCATATTTATCTGAAAAGCAATTGGACGCACCGAGTTGTGGTTAGGATTAAGCTAATGTAAAAATGTACTTAGTAATAACGGCTAATACTGAAAAAATCTCGTCACCAATGATATAATAAGACTCTTCAACAATTTGAGTCCTTTGTGCAGCTCCTCGTAAGATTAGCCTATCCATATGATTATCAGGAGCTCATAGACGAACTAGCAGTACAAACATTTATTAATGGAATCAGGGTCGCCTAACTATAGCAAGTCCTTAGACTAGCACGCCAGAAGAGGCCAAATGAAACATCGTCACATGGCTTAAAGCTTGAAGCGGCGAAAGAAGTTTCCAAGGGCCATGTACGAGTACGTCAAGCGGAAATCGACGACTGCATAACCACAACAAAAGACATAACAGATGCGAAGGAAGTCACCACTACAAGCACGGTTGAACGAAATTAAAAATGTTGGTAATGTAGAAGAACTGTTAGAATTACGGTGGTCGTCCGAAGTGCTGGAATTGTAGAAGAATTGGTCACCTAAATTGAGGGTGCGCCTTAAACACAACGCGATCTTTTGGCGGAGATAGACGGCAATCAGTAAACTAAAATCAGCCAACTTTGTGGAGCGCAAGTTATTTCGCTTTCACCTTGATCAAATTTATCGGAGAAACTTCTCTAAAACATGAAGAAATTAAAACAGGAAATGCTATCCTATATGGTTGGAAATTAGTGCCCGATACAGCATTTCTCCAAGAACATGGAATCAGCACTCTACAATGGTGAACAGAAAATAGTAATATAGTATTGATGGGGATAGACGAACCAGGCATTCCAAACTTGGCACAGAAAGCATTATAGGTGGGACATACACTCGTAAGAAGTGGAACATCATCGATACCTGCGAGAATAGTCAATTTAAAAAACTTCTAGCAAAAGATTTGTAAAGGGACATCATTGGGAGAATTTGAATCATTTGTTGAAACTCACCTTTGTAATTGGAAAAAAAGCTAGGGCTAAACAGACATCACTTCCTTTAACCGAACTGGTGAAACGGTACAGTAACTACATACAAGGGACAACTCAAGCAACTTCTTAACCGCTTCATATCAAAATTTAGGAACAAACCGCTTACCATACCACTGCAACAACACCCGAACAGCAAAACCCATTAAATAACTACCTAAAGGAGTTCTCTGGACGAAGCAAGAGGAAGTGAATAGACTTATAAGAGATATGCATATGCAAAGAGTGATCGAAGTTCTTGGGTTTCATAAATGGTATTAGTACCGAAGAAAGATCCACAATATTTATTGTGAACTACACGAAGCTGAAAGGGATAAAGAAAATAAATAATTACCCATTACTATGAATCGACGACAATCGAGAATTAATACGAAGGTTTACCGATATAACTGAGCCGCTCACAATAAACGGGGTTTAATTCTACTATACACCCGAATGTTAAAAAGAATTCGAAAACTTGAGGATTACACTCTCTCGAGCCCCAACCTCTACATACCCATAGATGCTAGTAATTTAGGACTTGGCTATGCTCAAAACAAGGACGAAACTATTATATCACCCATCTAGAGCTACTGTCTGTGGTGAATAGAGACTTCTATAAAACTCCCCTTAAAGTCGGATCACTAAATACGAGTTAGATATTGATTGATTGATCTCCCAGACAAACAATACGACAACGCATATGCACTTTGCCTATGCACTATGACCTTGCGTAGAATACTGCAAGCGTTGTTCCTCTTCGAAGAAAAAAGGATGGCATCGGTCTGTTGTAGTGTAACCACCGTTCATCCTGAGAGATCCTGGAAAGACTGAAAAGAGAAAGAACGAAGACATTAACCGAATAATGAAATGAAAAGAATCTAGAATATCAAGACCGTCATTGATAGATGAGAGCCACCTAAGTCAGACAACGAAAAGTTACTGGGCCCAGAGGAATTCCCTTACCTTGAGAGAGTCCGGATGGTATGAAAAATATGCTTCAAGTAGTAAGTACTTCTAAAGAGCAGATTTTGAGAAGTCTAAGAAACAATCCAAAGCGAATGATATTTCGGCATTACAAAGATTACAGGGGAGGTGCGAGAAGGATTTTATTGACTACGACGTAGAGACGATATGGAAGATTGATGTACGAAATGCCCAACATGCGCCGTAAGAGACCGCAAAATAGAAGCTCTAAATGAAAGCAGCAGTACAACATGGAAGCACTATTTCAGATAATGACGATCGACGCAGCAGAACCTTTCCCAACGATAAACTGCGGTGAACGATATATCTTGGTTGTGATAGATTACTTTACCGGATTGCTCGTTATACAGTACTAATGGAATTATATTCTGACCAAGGCAGGAACTTCGAGTCGACACTATTCAAAGTCACTGATCTAATGGGTCTCACAAAAGTAAGGACAGCTCCTTTACATCCATAGTCTGATCGTATGGTTGAACCATTTAACTACCTCTTTATCTCTAATATATCCGCCAACCATAAAACAATTGGAATAACACCGGCCAGTAGCACATTTGGGAAGAGCTTGGACTGTCAGCAGACATGTGGTTTGATCGATCTGGAGACCCTTTAGTGTTTACAAACGAATACGTGCGCCAACTATAAGAATGACTAGAAGCCGCTGCTGATTTTAGGGAAGTTGACAAATTGTGGCTATATAATTCATCAGGACGGAAAGAACGTTGCCCGAAACTGCAGCAAGTTTCGAAAGCTCCTTACACTGTATATTCGACACATCAACGACGTTGTTTATCGAATTCGAAAGAGGCTTTGAGTTAAAATGGAGATAATTTACTTTGAATGCCTTGTTCTAAAAAGATGCGCTGTCGCTGATCTTAACTGTAAGTTTTAGGACAACATGTAGACAATGCCAGAGCATCAGGTGACCTATATTGGGTTGCCGAGGTTGAACAAGATCAGAGTCCTCTAGAAGCTACATTCTGAAATCTTTCTAGAGCAAGACAGCCGAGAGGTCGGAAAATGACGTTTATAGTTACTATGAAATGGAACCTGCAATAAAAGATGAAAAGAAGCGATATAGTGATGAACGGGTGATTAATTAATAATAGTAATGTCAATTGAATATTTATTAAATAATAAAAATAAATTAGAGTACGAAAGGTGTTCTTTTACGCGACACCATGATCTCTATGTTAGAAACTTTCTCGTTTCACAAGAACGGTTGTTATTACATGCAACTTACTTATTTCACATTAATTGCCCACTTACTGAGAAAACAACATACCTAACTAAAAAATATGTCTCAGATGATACCCTTATAATTCGAATATCAAATAGCTTATGAATAGTTAAGTGCAAATCAATACAGAATAAAGGTTGTAGAATTTAATGTTTTGTGAAATAAATTAAAATTACATAAAATCTGTAGTACTACAATTAACCTCACAATAATAAGAAAAAATTGTTGCTGCTGTCACTCTGTTGCCGGGAAGCGAACCCGGGCCCTAATTTTACTCACCAGTACTCAACCAATAAACTGTGAGGAGACAAAAGCAGCAACACAGACGATACGTGCCTAAGCATAAGTGTAGCGAGCTTATCGATGTGCCGACTAGCCGCGGGCGCCTTTCTTCATGTGTGCCGTATTTCTAAATGTGGTTGTCGTACCTGCGTTCTGGGAAAGCAGTTAAACAGCTCAAAGAAGAAAGAAACGATCCGGATGTTTCTAGAGGGTTCCAGAAAGGAAACAAAAGAGTACTTAAAGGAAGAGACGATCGCCGAGAAGAGTAGAAATAAATTGACCGTTGCAGAAGTGAAACCAGAAATAAATTGACAGTGATAGCAGTGAAATAAATAGCGCAGTGAATAGTGATATATCAACAGTAGTGTAAATGAATAGAATAATTCATAAACTAAATTTAGTAATAATTTAATAGTGTTTTTAAGTTCTTTAATAATTAGTGTAAATAAATAGTTTTGTCGTTAGCAGTCTTAAAAGTTAAACCCACGAACATTACAATATTACACGATATATACAAATAAGTCGTTTCTAACAAATAGTGAATAGAGAAACACTAAATATATTTGAGTTATGACAGGCTTATTTGTGAGCGGTTAATGAAAATCGATTACAGTGAGCGATCGCATATAGTTTATTATTTATTATAAGCGGGCACGCCTGTAAATTTGCCTGTTATGAATTCTATTTATCTTAATATACCTAAAGAAAATTTTATTTGAATATTTACGAGACCATTTCTTACTCTTCCTTACCTAATTTCAATTTAAAATGTACCTTTCGTCCTTATTTTATTATTACTAAAAGTAAATAGTGTTTGGTAGTACAAATAATGCAAAACAATAGTCGAGACGTTGCTACGATGAGCGTCGTTACATGTCCGAAGCCTACTCCGATCGCGTAACAGTCTCTCCCATATTTTGATTGAATTTCGAAATCGTCGGCGCGTGAATCTGTAGACGATTGAAGCTCCCGATCGGGATAATTGCTTAATATTTTGACTGAGTCTCGGGCATTTACATTTAAATGGCGCTCAATGGAAAGCAATTTAAAGTTGTCAACTGTCTCACTGGACCCTTTGTAGTTAATCCAATCCGGTTTAATCGGCGAGTTAAGGGCGCCAACGACCCGGACCCATATGGCAACTTCACACAAGTTTATCTACGAATTGCTACGTATTAAACTCTCTCTGTAACCGTGTATCATTAAGTACAATTACATATGCGTCTATAATTAAAGTTAGTGAAAAGGTTGAAAAATGTTAACATGAAATCAATGATGATTCCTAC